GCCTGTTTGGCATAATTCAAGGAACATGTTACAAGCCCATGGTCTTCAGCAAAAAATGCCAACGCGCAAACGCAAGTTTTTCCCAACCATCCTGTGGTGTTGGGTTTTCGTTTTTGAAGAGATGGTCCCCGCGTCTTCTCTTCCCGCTGGTTTCCCCTCTTAGTGGGGGTGGCCTCATGCGCCCGCCACACCCAGTTCAGTCTTACCGTGGCGTCGTAGGAGCTCATGTTATGTCCATGTTTATACACAGTTGTATCATTCAGAATGAACCTACCGCCTGAATGGCAGGCGCCTGGCGCGCTCGACCTTCAAGGGGGCGCTCCCCGCACCGAAGAGGAATACTTGCGTGGACTTAGAGGAGGGGCTTGGCACGGCTGGGATGATTCCACGATCGTTGATACGTCCTTGGTTTACTCTGGTCCTCTTCCTATCCTTATACCTTACGAGAATATACTCTGGCTCCCCCCTTCTGGCCGGCCGATAGCGGTTCCATCCGGGCCGTCCCATCCTAATTGTAAACAATCAATACAAACTCGCCGTTGTTCTCTCAGCATGGCCTTCGACGATTCGAAATGCCCAGCAAGAACAAGACGCGGCGCACATCGCGCGCGGTCGTCAATCCAGGCCGTCCTATCTTAATTCTTAAGATATTAATGCGAAGTCGTTGTTGATTCTGTCAACATGGCCTGTTGTGTCGCCGACGATGCGAAATGTGTGGCAGGAACGGAACGCGGCGCACATCGCGCGCGGACGTTTGGGGCAACCCCACGCGGGAGTGGCAATCCTACCAGTCCAAAAAACAATGCAAAATGGACCTGCCTCTTTTCAGCGTGGACATTCTTGTCGCCGGCATTGCGAAATGCGTGCCCAAAATGGGGCGGGGCGCAGCCCCGCGCGACAGGACGACATGTCGCTCTCGCCTTGGCGCCGTGCGCATGTTTTCTGACAGCTGCGCTCACGCATGGGCGCAGCGTACATGTTTCGCTCGCCAAGTCGTTGGGCGCCCGGGCGTCCCCAGGGCCTCGTGGATCCCCCTGGAGCCTCCTGAGGCCTCCTGGGACTTCGCATCGCTCGTACGTGTGCATTTTTCCTTCGGCGAGGACAAATGAGGAGCATCCTGGATCCTTGATCATTTGGCGAAAAAAACCACGCACGAAACCAAAACAAACACAGGGAATGGACGTTCGAGCGATGCCGAGAGGATTTCTTGGGTTTCCTGACACCCCTGGGGTTTCCTGAAGCCTATTGGGACCTCCTGGGGCCTCCTGGGGCTCGCCGGGGCTTCCTGCAACCTTCTGGGGCCTCCTGAGGCCTCCTGGGGCCTTCTTAGGCTTCCTGGGGACTCCTGGGGCATCCTCGGCTGGTGCTGAAGTGCCAGCGCAGCCTTTGAGACGCGCCAGGGATTTCCCATCGGTAACCGCCATCGCAGCTGCATCAGCTGTGTCAAACCACATTGCCGGTTAGATTTCGGCCTCCGGTTGCGTCAGCACGGTTTCTTATGTTTTGGGAGGGCGGGCGGGAATGGGCATGCCATGCTTGACTCGCTCGAGCTGGCTTACTTGACTCCTACTCCTACCCTCCCTCCTCCTCCTCCTCCTCCTCCTCCTCTGTTTCTCCTCCTCCTCCTCCTCCTCCTCTCGATATCCTTCTCTTCTACCTGCCCTGGTTCTGCACTCCCTGCCTCCTCCGCTTCCTCCTCCTCCACTGCCCGTGAGAAGTAGGAGAAGGAGGCGGAGGGGGGAGGAGATGGAGGAACGGGATACGGAGGAGGGGGGAGAATGAGAAGGAGGAGGAGGAACAGGAGGAGGAACAGGAGGAGGAGGAGGAGGAGCAGGGAGGAGCAGGAGGAGGAGGAGCAGGAAGAGCAGGAGGAGGAAGAAAAGGAGGAGGAGGCCTCCCCCATACCTCCGGCAATTGTCGTTTCGAGTCGCAGGCCCCCAGAGGTCTCGAGCTCCAGACTGGATGAGGGTGGGCCGCTTGCGGCCCTCAAAGAGCTTGGAAAGGAACCGCTCTTTTTGCTACACTCCTCTTCTCCACTCTTCTTCCTCTTATTTCATCCTTCTCTCATCCCCCCTCCTGCTCCGTCTTCCTCCTCCTCCTTATCCTTTTTCCTTCAATCAGAATCCGTTTCCGCATAACCTTGCCAGGCGTTGTTTTGCCTGTTTTTGTTGGTGTGGGAGCTCGGAAAACCTGGCCAGCTGATGAGTTGTTTGATGTTTTCCTAGTTTGGGAACTCGGAAAACCTTGGCAGGCGTTGGTTTTTTATGGTTGTTTTTCTGGTCTGGGAGCTCAGAAAACGCGGCCAGGCGTTAGTTGTTCTTGTTTTTCTGGTCTGGGAAGCCCACAAAGCCTGACCAGGCGTTTGTCGTTTGGGTTTTTCTAGTTTGAGAGTTCAGAAAACCTTGCCAGGCGTTGGTTGTTCTTGTTGTTCTGGTCTGGGAGCTCGCGAAACCTGGCCAGGCGTTGGTTTTTCATGTTTTTCTGGTCTGGGAGCTCACGAAACCTGGCCAGGCGTTTTTTTTATGGTTTTCCTCGTTTGGGAAGCCCACGAAGCTTGGCCAGGCGTTGTTTGTTCTGGTCGTTCTGGTCTGGGAGTTCAGAAGACCTTGCCAAGCGTTGTTGTTTGTGGTTGTTCTGGTCTGGGAGCTCAGAAAAACTGGCCAGTTGTTGGTTGTTTATGGTTTTTTCTTCCGGTCTGGGAAACATAGCCTGGAGGTTGGGAGCTTGCGAACTACTGCCGTCAGACCAGAGAAACCAGAAGAACCAACGCCTGGCCAAGTTTTTTGGTGAGCCCCCAGACCAGAAGCACCAGAACAACAACGCCTGGCCAGGTTTTGTGGGCTTCCCAGACCAGAAAAACCAGAACACATCAACGCCTGGCCCTGAGCTCCCAGACGAGAAAAAATAACGAAACCAACGCCTGGCCAGGTTTTGTAGGCTTCCCAAGCCAGAAAAACTATAACAACCAACGCCTGGCTAGGGTTTGTGGGTCGCCAGACCAGGGAAAAGGAACAAGAAAAACCAACGCATGGCAAAGATTTGTGAGCCCCCAGACCAGAACAACCAGAAAAAAAAACAACCCCTGGCAAGGTCTTGTGGGCTTCCCAGACCAGAAAAAAAGCTAGACAAAACAAGCGCCTGGCCAGGTTTTGTGGGCCCCCAGACCAGAACAAACAGAAAACCAAGCCTGGCCATGTTTCGTGAGCTCCCAGACCACAAAAACACGGCCGTACGGGCCTAACGGGGGGCCTCGCTTGCCTGGGCTATCTCCCAATGCAGACATGCACCGAGCGTTCACTCTGCCACTGGGCGGGTGCCCCTTCGCGAAAATATTTTAATTTTCAGACAGGGCCAGGAGAGGAACGAGGAGGATCAAGAGGAGCATGCATATGGCATATGAATAGAAAGAGGGAGGGACGGGAGGAGGGGAAGGAAGAGGCATTGAGGGCCAGCGGTCGCAGCATAGAGCCGAAAGCGCCCCACCCTCATCCAGTCTGGCGCCAGGTCTCGCTCCATCCCTTGGGGTCGCCCTTCTCACCCTGAGCAGCTCCAGACGGCCCCGGGGCCCACACGCGGCTCCCTGACGCCGAACACTCCGAGCAGCATCGGGCGCGACCCGTGGAGCCGGCAGGAGGTCCAATTGGGGGGGGGCGGGGGGCGGCGCCCCTTGAGGACTGCGTCGACCGGAACGCCTCCATCGTGGAGGTGAGCGAGATCATGTCGATCCGAAAGCAGGCGCCTCGAGGAGGAGGGAAGGTGGGAGAGGAGAAAGGGGGAAGCGGGGAGGAGGAGGAGGGACGCGAATGAGAGGGGAGGAGGAGGAGGCAGGGGAGGAGGAGGAGGAGGCAGGGGAGAGGACGGGGCAGGGGGAGGAGGTAGGGGAGGGATCCAGGGCATCCCTCCTGGGGGGGGGGGTTCACCTCGCGCTCGACCTCCTCACCTCCTACCTCCCCCCCCCGTTCCTTCTTTCCCTCCTCCTCCTCCTCTTTCTCCTCCTCCTCCTCCTCCTCCTCCCTCCTCCTCCTCCTCCTCCTCCTCCTCCTCCTCCTCCTCCTCCTCCTCCTCCTCCTCCTCCTCCTCCTCCTCCTCTTTCTCCTCCAAACAGGGTTCAACCGCAATGCAAAACGAGTCGCGGTTCGGAGAAACAGCAACAGAAGTAGGACGAGGAGGATCGAATCTGAATGAGCTTCAGCAGATCGTACAGCTGTGCTCGGCGCTGCCTCGCGGAGTTTGCTGCGCCCCCTGGGCAAGGTAGGATCAGACGTATGTCCGTCTTCGTCGATCCTCTTCCGCCGTTTTTCTTCCCCCCGCATTTTTCCGTGACCCCCTCGTTCCTCGTTCTCCCCCCATCCCACATCGTTTCTTTTACAGTAGCGGCCACGCGGCGCGACGCCGCGGAAGTAAAGCATGGCAGCGGACTTGGCATCAAGCCGAACGATCGTGAGCTCTGTAATCATGAGTATCTGGATGAAATCACGAAAACATGAAAAACTCAACTCAACAAAGAAAAGCTCATTATATATATATATATATGTATAAAACTCAATTTAACACGACACATCATAAAAAGTTCAGGTGTTTTCAACCTTTGGCCCTCTGGGCAGGAGGCTGCAGACCCTGGAGGATTCCTTATGGACTGGCGGCGATATCCATGGCCAAGCTTCGATTGCAATTCATCCGGCCTTGGGACCCTGGATTCCTAACCTAAGGGTTCTTTATCCAATGCCCCCAACGTTTTTGCGATTTCGCCTTCAAGGTTTTCCAGTTGTTTTGCGGTGTTTTCCTCGCCGCCCTCATCCTTTCCCTTCCTCTTTTACTTCCTCCCTCTAGCGGGACGTGCTGTGACGCAGCATAGCCTACAATTTTCACGAGTAGCCCACTTATGTATACCTTGGTGGGTCGCAAGGGGGTTGGGATTTGTCTACTCTCCTGGCCAGCGCCAGCAGTGCACAGCAGTCCTGGTAGTTTGTGCGGTTTCTAGCCCGGTCGAGTCGTTTCTACGAACTGGGAGCCGGCTGCACGCGGCGCCAAGGCGCATGCGGTCGCATCGTTGTCCTCTCCCCCCGAGCGCTGATACGTTTGAGTGACGAATTCGTATCGATCCAGGCTCTATTCCTGCAGCCCGCGGTGGGCACATTGAAGAGTGGATCGGCTAAGTGTTTGTCGTGCCTTCCCCCTTCGCCTTTTTCTTCCCGCTCTCCACAAGATGCGCTGGAAACATTTATCCTGGCGAATGACCCAACCATGTGCAGTTGTGAATATCGCATTGCGGGTGCCGCTTTCGGTGGAGCTCCCTGTGGGGCCACGAAACGCTGTGCTGGGTTGGGGTGACGCATGCGGGCGGCACCACTGGGGCCTTCGGTGGAGGTCCCTGTGGGGCCACGAAGCGCTGTACTGGGCGGGGGTGACGCATGCGGGCGGCACCACTGGGGCCGTCGGTGGAGCTCCCTGTGGGGCCACGAGACGCTGTGCTGGGTGGGGGTGGCGCATGCGGGCGGCACCACTGGGGCCTTCGGTGGAGCTCCCTGTTGGGCCACGAAATGCTGTGCTGGGGTGGGGGTGACGCATGCGGGCGGCACCACTGGGGCCTTCGGTGGAGCTCCCTGTGGGGCCACGAAACGCTGTGTTTGGTGGAGGTGCCGAAATGGGTGTGCGGGACGCATGCGAGCGGTGGCACTGGGGCCTTCGGTGGAGCTCCCTATGGGGCCACGAAACGTGTGAGGGGTGTGCCGAATTGGATGTGGCTGACGCATGCGGGCTGGGGCCACGAAGCGTGTGAGGGGTGTGCCGACTTGGATGTGGCTGACGCATGCGGGCGGCGGCACTGCGGCCTTCGGTGGAGCTCCCTATGGGGCCACGAAAGCGTGTGAGGGGTGTGCCGAATTGGGTGTGGCTGACGCATGCGGGCGGCAGCACTGGGGCCTTCGGTGGAGCTCCCTATGGGGCCACGAAACGTGTGAGGGGTGTGCCGAATTGGGTGTGGCTGACGCATGCGGGCGGCGGCACTGGGGCCTTCGGTGGAGCTCCCTATGGGGCCACGAAACGTGTGAGGGGTGTGCCGAATGGGTGTGCTGACGCATGCGGGCGGCGGCACTGGGGCCTTCGGTGGAGCTCCCTATGGGGCCACGAAACGTGTGGGGGTGTGCCGAATGGGTGTGCGGACGCATGCGGGCGGCAGCACTGGGGCCTTCGGTGGAGCTCCCTATGGGGCCACGAAACGTGTGAGGGGTGTGCCGAATGTGGTGTACGGGACGCATGCGGGCGGCAGCACTGGGGCCTTCGGTGGAGCTCCCTATGGGGCCACGAAACGTGTGAGGGGTGTGCCGAACTGGGGTGGTGGACGCATGCGGGCGGCAGCCACTGGGGCCTTCGGTGGAGCTCCCTATGGGGCCACGAAACGTGTGAGGGGTGTGCCGAATTGGGTGTGGCTGACGCATGCGGGCGGCAGCACTGGGGCCTTCGGTGGAGCTCCCTATGGGGCCACGAAACGTGTGAGGGGTGTGCCGAATTGGGTGTGGCTGACGCATGCGGGCGGCGGCACTGGGGCCTTTGGTGGAGCTTCCGGTGGGGCCACGAAACGTGTGAGGGGTGTGGCGGCACCACTGGGGCCTTCGGTGGAGCTCCCTCCCTATGGGGCCACGAAACGTGTGAGGGGTATGCCGAATTGGGTGTGGCTGACGCATGCGGGCGGCAGCACTGGGGCCTTCGGTGGAGCTCCCTATGGGGCCACGAAGCGTGTGAGAGGTGTGACGATGATGGTGATGATGACGATGATGGTGGGTGATTACGATGATGATGATGATGACGATGATGATGATGACGATGATGATGATGATGGTGCTGATGGGAGGAGGGAGGAGGGGGAAGAGGAGGAGAGGAGACGAGGAGGAGAGGAACGCGGGGCACCGTCTCTTTAAAACGAGGACCCAACACCACAGGATGGTTGGGAACAAAAACACCCCCGGGCGGTGGTGGCCCCCCTGGAGCGGAAAACGGCGGGAAACTTCCCGTCCTGATCTTTCCACGCTGCGAGCATGTCCGGGTGGATTCAGGAGGGGAAAGAAACACACAGACACAATTAATTTTCGATTCCCCCGAAAATATATGGGAAAATCTGGGAAGTGGGGGGGGAAGACAGAAACCCAGAACATATGGAAAAATCTGGGGGATCTTTTATTTGTGTGGATTTACTTGTGTGTCCTTGGGCCCCTTGACGGGTGGATGCCCCCTCCGCGCAGGCCTGGGCCACGGACTCCGGCCACGCGCCCCCGGCGAAGACGGGCCATCGCGGCAGCACGCCCGCCGCGGCGCCGCGCCCGGAGAGTGCCAAGGCCTCGCCGCTGCCGCCTGGCATCGCTCGGACGTTTGCGTTTTTCCTTGGGCGAGGACCATCGAGGAGCATCCTTGACCATTTGCCGGAAAAACAATGCACGGAACCGAACCAAAACACAGGGAATGGACGTCCGAGCGATGGCGAGTGCCGCCCGCGGCAGCGCCGCGGCCGCCGACACCGCTGGGCGGCCCCCGGGCGGCCCCTGGCCGGCCCTCGGCCGGCCTTCGGCCGACCCTCGGGCGGCCTTCGGCGGGTCCTCCCCAGAGATCAAGCAGTGGCGAAGCGTCAAGGCTCGAGCCTGTTGTGGTTTCCACGAAGCGTTCTTAGAACATTTCTGGACCCTGGCTGTCTTAGTGGGCCCTGGAAACGACAGGGCCGTTTTTTTACCGGTTCCGTTTTGCCGTTTTTGTTGCCGGTTCCGACGCCGTTTTTGTTACCGGTTCCGCCGCCGTGTTTTGACCGGTTCCGTCTCCGGTTCCAATCCTAGAGCCGTTTTTTTTGCCGTTTCCGGTCGCCGTTGTTTTTTGCCGTTTCCATTTTGAAGGGGCATTTTTGGGGATACAGTGAAAAAACGGCCCTGCCGTTTCCGGGGCCCACCTGGCTGGCCCTCGGCCGGCCTTCGGCCGACCCTCGGGCGGCCTTCGGCGGGTCCTCCCCAGACGAGCGGCCTTCGGCGGGTCCTCCCCAGAGAGCCGACGCTCCAAAAGATCGGAGCGGCGGGTTTGGAGCTGTTTTCGGCCTCCAGGGGCCTTCGCTGGGCCTCGGGGCCGTCAGTAGACGACTCAGGAGGAGAAGCCGGGCCTAGGGAGGCGGTCGCGAACTCCAGGGCCAACGCATCGAATCAATTGGAGCGGCCAAATGTCTGGGTCGGCCAGCAGACGCCGGTCGCCGCCGCCCTGATCGTTGCCGCCGTCTTCGTCGTCGTCGGTTGGAAGGGGGGGGGCTTCTCAGGAGCAGGAGCACCCCTGATTCTCAGAATGCGCGGGCCTTGCCTACCGATGATGTAGGGCCAGCGCCTTCCAAGAAGCAGCTCCCTTCTCAGAAGCTCTCCCCCCTCCCCCCTCCCCCTTTGTCAGGAGGGGGCAAAAATACACAGACGCAATTATTCATCGGATTTCCCAGAAAATACGGGAAAATATGGGAAGTGGGGGGGAAGACCACAACCCCGAACATATTGGGAAATATGGGGGATAGCTTGGCTTGTGTGTCTTATATATATATATATATTATATACTATATATATATATATATATATATGTTGTTTGTGTGTGTGGTGTGTGTGTGTGTGTGTTTTGTGTGACCTGGGGCCCCTTCCCTTTGCACGCGCCGCCAGTGGGGGTCTCTGCGTGGGCGGGGGCGCCCCGTGGTCACATGCTCCGTCTCCCGGGCGGGCGTCGGGCACGATCTGGCCAGGGGGCCCCGCACCGTGCAGGTTGTGGTCCTCCCCGGGAGCCGCCCGGCAGAGAGAGGGAGGCAGAGGCAGCGGAGGGCACGCACCAAAAAGGTGGCTTGCCTTCCTAGACCCCGTCGGGTCATCAGAACATCACGACGGGAGGTTTTTCGTTATTTTCGGCCTCTGGGGGCCCTCACCGGGCCTCGGGGTCGTGAAAAAAACGACTCAGGATGAATGACCGGTCCTGAGGAATGGGTCGAGACCTCTGGGGGTCGACGTCATGAAAAAATCATGACGTCGGGGGTCTGGGGTCCTCGGGCTGCGTTGAAGCGCTGGCCAGCAGTGGGGTTCAGTGGAGGTGTCTCTCTTCGGGGTTGGTCCCGTCTCGCTGTCGTGTCTCTTTCCGGGATTTGGGGGGCGGTTCGGGCCCCTCTTTTGGCACCAGAAATGTGGCCTGCCGTCCTCGGGCTGCGTTGAACCGTTGGCTAGAATTATGTCGGGCGTGTCCCCCTTACAGGGGGATTTTTGACGAAAAAAATACCCCACAAATATTCAAAAAATAGTCCCAACATAGTCTGGGGACTATTTTTTTTTTTTTTACCTTTTTGGTGCATTTTTGGGTTTTTTTCTATAAAAAAATATAGAAAATCCCCTTGTAGGGGGACAGGCCCGACATAATGCTAGAAGCGGGGCTCAGTGGAGGTGTCTCGTTTCGTTGTTGGTCCCGTCTCGTTGTCGTGTCTTCTCGGGGTTTGGGGGGCGGTTCGGGCCCCTCTTTGGCGTCCAGGAGTCTCCGCGTCGTCACAGCTGGAGTTCTTTGAAGTTCTTGTCGAACCGCACCCCTGGAGAGGTCTTGGCGTTGGTCTATTCCCATTTATTCTAGACGCTTCGCGCAACCCCACAATACCATCCCAGGAACGATGCCCAGACGAGTTGCCCTGATCAGCGATGTGGAGGAGCATGCAGTGGAAAAAGGGCTGGCTGGAAGAGGAGTCAGAGGAGGAGCAGGAGTAGCAGGAGGAGGATGAGGAGGAGGAGGAGGAGAAGGAGAAGGAGGAGGAGGAGGAGGAGGACGAGGAGGGAGAAGGGGAGGGAGGGCAAGGACGATGAGCCCTGAGGTCAATGAATGCAGACAGTAAATATGTTATTGAGCCTATGTTATTGGGCCTGTGGTGCCTCCCCTGAAGTGTCGTCGGCCAGGCGCACGGTGCCCGGGCCTTGATCTTTGGGGGACCTGCGGTGTCCCACCTTGCCCACCCCGCCCCGCACACAGGGACTTCGCACCCTCCTCTATGGTGGAAGAGTGGGTGCGCGGGCCGCCCCCCCCCCCCCTGACGCCGCACGTCCTGCGCCAGGGGTGGTGAGGACTTCCATTGAAGGCAATGGGTTCCATGAAGTACTTTTCGCCCGTCCACCCGTCCCAGGCCTGGTCGGCGTTGGAAACCCTATGGTGTCCACTTCTTCTCCTCCGAGTGAAGCTGGGTCGAGGCGCCTCCAGAGGGCAGTGAATTTTGCCCGCCCCCTCCAGGATGCCAAACTGTGGCCAAAACCGTAATTAAGTCAATGATGTGGGCTTCCTCATCGAGGCCATCTTGGACACTCTCACTGCTCGCGACGCCCCCCCCGTCCAGGTCCAGGGATAGGAAGTAGGGGGAGGGGGGAGGGGTCAAGACACCTTCCCCGCCCGCAGGCTGTCTCGTTCACCCCCACCCGCCCTCCAAACACACAAGTAGCACCCGGGCCTCAGCATGTTCAGCGGTGGGCAGCTACCAGAAACCAATGCAGGCCCCATGTGCGCGAAGGGGCGAGGTGCGCCACATGTACCAGGCTCTCCAGGTGCGCAAGGCACCACTGGGGCCCAAGCGTGCCAGGCACGCCTCGCGCGCCAGATGCGCAACGTGCTCCACGTGGCAATGCCCCATGGTCCAGCCTGGTCGGCTGCCAGTCGGATGGTGTGGGGGGGGGGTTATTTATAGGCAACAGTGATAAACACCTCCCCGAAGAGGAAGAAGGAAGATGGAAGAGGAAACTCGCTAACACGCCCGGAGGGCTGGTGGGATCTCTGATCCGCGGGGCCCAGGCCAGCACCGCCTTGACCGAAGGTTGGACGTCCCGAAGTTCACACTTAGTGACAGCTTTTTTTTTCCCAGGGGGGACAGCACCAGACGACCTCGAGAGAGAACACCGTTCCCTTGGGGAGGATTCGAGCGGTCCGGCAGCTCGTGTCCGAGAAGACTTAGGGGCCGATGGACGCATCGATTCCAGCCTCAGGCATCGAGGCTCGTGGCTTCCAAGCGGGCGCCGCGTCGCCACGGCCGGCGCCATCGGAGCCCTCGCCAGGACGCACGCCAGGACAGGGCCGTCCCCGAGGGCCGCCGTCGCCGCTCCCAGGCCTTCCACCGTGTTCGCAAGGTTTGCGCGCGCGGAGGCGCATCGAGCCACGCGCCGTGTGTTCTGAGCAATTCGGCATCCGTGGGCTCTAGGCCTCCTAGGAAGGGCACAGCTGCGTGGCATGGCCCGCTGTCGAGTGAGAAACAAAACAAGAGGTGGCAACCTTCTTGGCATATGGCTGGCAGGTTGTCTCGGTTGGGCTTTGGGGCCCCGCTTCAGAAGCGCGGCCTGGAACTGCAAGAGACAGTTTGCGGTCTCGAATCCTGTTTTACTTCGAACAGGGCGATGGAGGTCTGCGATAATGTTCACATGAACGTCGGTATTGAGATTCGCGTTTGGGTCCGCAGTCTTGCGTGCCTTCGTGCCCGCGCGTGCGTCTGCCTCGTGCGCAAGGGCACCTGGTCGCTCTCTTGTGATGTCACGCGCGCTTCCCGTGACATTGTTCCAAATGCACTACATTTTGCATGACTCTGGCTTCGCGTTCAAGTGAAGGGGAACTTGGTATGAGTTGTTGAATCTGGTATGAGCTGCTGGGTTGATTGTTGGCATGCAAGGATGCAGATGTCGACGACTGCATCGAGCAGCTCCTCGAGGACTTGGGGTAATGACCCGCTGCGCGTTTCAGTAACCTTAGGGCGCGCCCTGCTCTGAAAGGGCGCCAGTCGTACTTAGGGGTGTCGAAATGTGGGGCCGTGGGTACGTAGCAGGTCTGTCGGAAGCGTTGCGGCGGCGAGCGTGTGGATGGCCGAGCAGGGGGAGAGCTGGCTTCGCCCAAATTTTGCGAATCATACCCCTATACGGGCCCAATCGGCGACCGGGTAGTGAACACCCCCGCTGGGGTCCATTCGGCTGCAGACACCCTCCACATTATGACCCCCCGCCAGTTTTTTACAAAGCCGACCTGCAGGGATCGGGTTCCCATGTGATTTCGGGCTCAGGAGGGGCTCTGTTCTTCGGGCCGCTCCTCAGATCTAGGTCGGGGGGACCTCGTCGTGGCAGAGGCTCGCTGCAGGCAGAAGAGCACCTTCGCTCCGTATTCAGCGATCCTTGTACTGGCACGATGACTGTATTGGATTGCCGACGTAGGGGGGGCGGTGAAGTTGGAAGGGAGTAGGAGGAGAGGGGGAACCTCGACAGCCGACCCCGCAGGAGTGCAGAAGAGAGAGAGGGGGCGGGCACTGGGCGTGTCGCGGGTGCGTCGCCCGTGAATTCGCGGGGGGTGGGTCGCGGGGTGGGTCGCGTGTGGGTTGCGGGCGGGTCGCGGGCGAGGACGACGGCAACGCAACAGCAGCAACAATCAGGTCGATACCGTTCGCTTCCGTTCGCGGCCCGCTCTACATGTATCTCCGAGGCCCTCGGTATCCGCCCTCTTTGTCCGAGATA